TTGATCAAAGTACCTATTCAGTTCTTCTACCATTTCTTTATTCCCCATGACTACTAGTACTCCTGACTGGAAAGAGTCAGACATATACCCAGCATGTTTTAAACGTGCATAATCAGTCTCTCAGTTTGTCTGATATTAAGCTGGTGGCTCTCAAATCCACCACATTGCTGCCAATTCCTTTCCCAATTCTTCTCTAATCCACAGACTATCTATTTGAGCCATGCAATCCCATTCCCAGATTGTGGGGTGGACTCTAGACCTCTTCTCTATTGCTGCCAAACTGTAAGATTCATTGCTTGGTTATCCCAGCAATAGCAATAATAATAATTGAAACTCTTCCTTGAACCCCGATCCTAGTGCCCTGGGAATGTCTAAAAATCATCTTTAACACACTAACTACTTGTGAAGATGCCTGAACATTTTCACATGTCTTCACATTACAGTTAAAAGATATCACTCAAGCCTTAAATTGGCCATCTGATGGACCAAGATTCACAGATATTGCAAGAGGGAAGAATATTGAACATAGATTTTGGTATTTTGTTTTATTAATAGCCTTCCTGAAACTAAGAAAATCATGCTCTGTGCCCATGGCCGCTCAATGCTGTGCAATATGCCTTGTCTTCTAATTCTAGATGTTGACCATGTGGAATAAAACATGCTCTAAATATTTTTATAATTAATTGGCCTGATTGGTCGTTTTCTAGCATTGGGCATTACCAGGATGAAAACTAACCCAGAATAGAAGAAAAAATACTTAAAAAGCAGTGCTTTGCAGTTACTTTCTCTAGAAGAAAGGAGTAAAAAAAATTGTTAGCTTGGTCATTCCTGTGAAGTAAATATTAAATACAATGGTGGTAGTGAGTTGTACCCTCAGTGTTTGAGAGAGGAAAAGGCAGAATAATGTTTTGGATGAGACCCTTTCTCATTTCTTGTTTTCCGATCTCACCAGCTAGAATGTGGAACTTTCAGATACTGATGGACCTGTGCATTTTCAGAAGATTCTGCCTTTATTTAAGGCATTTAGCCATCATTCATAGATTTTAATTTGTCATTCTCAAGTCTGTGGCTGGATTGGAATTGCTAGAAGCAGATCACGTCTCCGTGTGCCTTCTGGGTCACGGAGCATTCCATTGAGAGTCTTTTAAAACTTTGAATGGGCACTGAAAATTCCTTAACAAAAACAGAAAATGCTGGAAAGGCTCAGCAAGTCTGGCAGCATCTGCGGAAAGAAACAGAGTTAACATTTTGGGTCCAGTGACCCTTCCTCAGAACTGAAAATTCTTTAATTCTTTAGTTTGTCCAGATATAGGATCAAAAAGAAATGAACTTAACTATGTGGACAAATCAGAAAACATTGACCAGTCTGCATTTTCCAGTGGGCCACACCTCTCCCTCTGCCTCTCTCCAGTAGCATGTCACCACGACAATAAAGTCTTACCAGCACAGTCTGAATTATTCACTCCAATTTTTTTTGGCTATGCTGTAGTTTTTGATGTACTGTACTTTTAATGATTTTGTGTTAAATGGCTAGCTGAAGACTGTGCAGTTAGTAAAATGACACTTTAAAAGTTGTCTATGACATAATTACAGCAAATTTATGGAAACATTATTAGCAGCTGAGTGCAAAGAAATTGCATGTTAAGACCATGTTATGTTACTTTAGAGTTGCAAAATTAACACAGATGGAGCCCTCTGTTGTAAATTGCATGCTATTATGATTTATTGATATGTTCGCTTCTGAAACATTGCCAACTACTTTCATATTATAAAACAGCAGCCAATGGTGTAGTGGTCCACTTGTCATTGTGCTGCATTTTGAAATCCAGCTTTTTAGGCGGCAGCAGATGCATTGCCATGAGCAGCACCTCATATTCCGCCTTAGGAGCCTACAGCTCAATGGCCTAAACATGGATTTTACCAGTTTCAAAATCTCCCCACCCCTTGCCTCATCCATTAACCAACCCTCCCTCTTATCCCTCAATCCCCACCACTCCCTACCTGCACTCACCTATCACCATCCCACCTACTTTCTCCAGCCCCACCCCTCCTCTCTCTATCTATTTCTGAGTTCCTTTCTCCCTCCCCACTTCTAAAGAAGGATCCTGACTCGAAACATCAACTTTCCTGCTCCTCCGATGCTGCCTGGCCTGCTGTGTTATCTATAGAAAATCACATTATAGGGGAATCGCTATAGAAGTGATGAACCACATATCTAAGTGATTGGTTCTAGCATTGACAGAGACCTTGAAGTGTAGGTCACCTAATTCTTCTAATTTAAATTGGTGTTTGACATCCTGTGTGGTGAGGCACAAAATCCTATGTAGGAAAAGAGGAGACAGAAACAGTTGATTATATCAACATTACAACTGAATAACAGACTATGTTCATGCTCCAGCATACAGCACCACAGAGTGACAGGCAGTAGGTTTTTGCCAACAGTGCCCATTGTGAGAAGCTAATTATTTTTAGCAATGCGATACTACCATGCATGTATGCAGTGCTTTTAATGTAGAAAACCATCCCAGGGCATTTCAGTAGAAAGTTCATTGAATCATAGAGTATAGAAAAGGTCCTTTGACCCATCAAGTCTGCACTGAGAAAAACTACTCAAAATCTACAATAGTCCCACTTTCCAGCACTTTGCCCATAGCTTTGAATGTTGTGACATTTCCCATCCAGTACTTTTTAAAGGTTATGAGATTTCCTGTTTTAGCAACCTTTCCAGATAGTGCATTCCAGATTAAGATTTTCCTCAATTCCTTTCTAAATCTCCTACCTTCCACCTTAAAATTATGCCACCTTGTTATTGACCTTTTGATTAAGGAGAACAGCTGCTTTTATCCACTTTGTACATTCCCCTCGTAATCTTATACACCTCAATCAGGCTACCTCTCAGCCTTCTGCTCGAAAGGAAAACCCCAAGCTTAGCCAGCTCCATTTATCAGACAGAACTTGTTATTGAGTCATGAAGAGAATATGAGAACAACCTGGTGAAAAATATATGTTAAGAAGGAGAAAGGTGAAGAGATTTGGAATCTGGCATGTCTGCCATTTGAGCGATGAAAGTTACTAGGGATGAGTTAGTAGGCAGAATTTGAAGGACCACAGATTTTGGAGGTTTGTAGGGTTGTTAGATGTTACAGAGCTGAGGGTTGGCTAATTTTAGTTTTGAGTCTGAACCTAGACCAAACATAGGTGAGTGGGTACACGTGTGATGGGTGAACAGGTTGATCCTCAAGGGTACCAGGGTAATGGTGCTGGACGGAGAAGTCATTGCAGGAGATTGTCTGGCTGGACAGAGGTCATAGAAGACAGAGGGAAGTTGTGGAGGGGTATTTTTCTGACAGGAGGTCTGGACCATTGGTGTTCTGCAAGGATCAGTACTGGGATCTCTGCTGTTTGTAATAAATATAAATGGTTTGGATGAAAATGCAGGTTGTCTGATTAGTAAGTTTGCAGATGACATTAAAATTAGTGGATAAAAACCAAAAGAACTACGGATGCTGTAAATCAGAAATAGAAGTTGCTGGAAAAGCTCAGCAGATCTGGCAGCATCTCTGAAGAGAAATCAGAGTTAATGTTTCTGGTCTGGTGACCCTTCCTCAGAACTGAAGTTGAGAAATTGCAGATGGATTTTAATCTGGAGTGTGAGGTGATATATTTTGCAAGGTCAAATGCAAGACAGAAGTATACAGTAGATGACAGGACTGTTAGGAACATTGAGAAACAGAGGGATCGTGGGATGCAAGTCCATAGCGGCCTGAAAGTGACCATACAAGTGGATATGGTGGTAAAGAAGGTGTACGGCATGCTTGCCTTAATCAGTGGGGGCATTGAGTATAAAAGTTGGCAAATCATGTTGCAGCTATATAAAACTTTAAAATGGGCGAAGGGATAATTTTAAAGGAGATGGGTGAGGCAATTTGCCAGGGGAGGTGATAGAAACGTATAAGAGGCATTTAGATGGACACACAGCAGGCAAGGAATAGAGGGATGTGGACCATGTGCAGGCAAATGGGATTGGTTTAAAATGGCTTCATGGTTGGCGCAGACATGGTGGGCTGAAGGGCCTCTTCCTGTGCTGTACTGTTCTATGTTCTAAGGAGCCAGGAAAGGGCTGTTGGATTATAGTCGGGGAGGGTGGTGCAGTCAATTATGTCAAAAACTCCAGATAGATTGAGAAGAATAAGGAGGAATAATGCACCACTCTCAAAGTCACAGAAGATGTCATTCTAGATTTTGATGAGGCCCATTTCAAAACGTGGTAGTGTAGAAACTTGACTGGAAAGCTTTAAGCGTAGGGTAGTGGGAGAGATGGGCACAGATTTGGCAAGCAATCACATATTTCAAAATTTGGACAGTAAAGGGTAGATTGCAATGACAGAGAAGTCTGTAGCAGTTCATAGAATCATACAACCACTACAGTGTGGAAGCAGGCCATTCGGCCCATTGAGTCACGCTGATCCTCCGAAGAGCATCCCACCCTGACCCAACCCCCTGTAACCCTGCATTTCCCATGGCTAATCTGCCAAGCCTGTACATCCCTGGACGCTATAAGCAATTTAGCATGGCCAGTCCACTAGGCTACACATCTTTGGACTGTGGGAGGAAATTGGAGCACCTGGAGGAAGCCTATGCAGACACAAGGAGTATGTGCAAATCCACACAGTTGCCAGGGTCCCTGATGCTATGAGGCAGCAATACTAACCACTGAACCGCTGTGTCACTCACAGTGTGTTATTTGAAGGGGGAATTAATTATAGCAGATATGAAAGTTGAAAGTTATAGGAAGACACATGCATTTATACAGCATCTTTAATGTAGCCCCAAGCCGTTTCATTTCAGTGGACAAGGTACCTCTTTTTACTCTTAGACATTTGTAGACTTTGCCTGTTGTAGGTAGAGTCTGGGAGCAAATCCAAACTATCCTGTTCAAGGGAAGGTTGGGAAGACTTAGGAGAAAAATGTAGAAGTTAAGTTATTGATGGCAGTCATCATTGAGTCTTTAATTCTTAAATTTTATTTTGAAGAGAACAAGGAATTTTCACATTTAATGTACAAGAAAAAAATCAGCCTTTTAGTCTGAATAGACACTTAACATTGAAATTTCAAGGCACCTACACAAAGAGGCCAAAGGGCTTCACAATGCACTTTGGTTTTTTTTCTGAAAATCTTGTTTCTGTGGAGTAAATCTCATGATTAAAAACACAGCAAGCCAATCCTAAACAAAACAACATGTAGAAAATTAAAGGAAAAAGTATGACTATCATTTTTTTATAATGGTTATTGCAACTTAACTAATTAACCCGCTCCCCTTGATTCATTGTGTGTGTAGAACATAATTATTCACGTTATGCAACAGATGTTAGAGCTGACACTAATAATTCACCCCTGAAAGCTGGCTTTTCATAGGAAGTGAGTGCTGTATATAGAAATTTCTGCATACTTAGTGTTTGCTGTCATGTTCTGTGAAGTTAATTTTCCATGTATTCACTTTGTCTGTCAGACTCCATTCCCAAATTTGAACAGACCATTTACAATAATGGAGATGGATCCTGTGTTTTCTGACTTTTGGGCATCTGTGCTATTTAGCATACAGCATGTTTTATCTAGTTTTAGAAAACAAAAATCCTGGTCAATTCTCTGCCAAGATGGCTAAGGACACCAAAGAGTTGTAAATAGCACTCTGCAGTGGTATGGCCCAGATTTTGTTGATGTAAGAATCACAAAACCATCAGCATTCACTGTCAGTATCGCTTTGAAACTGATAGCAACTTCTGGCATCCACGTTGTTGAACACGAAAATGCAGAAGTTGCGGTCAGTGATTTCCTGCTGCACCAGGGCGTGGAAATTGAAAATTTCCAACATTGAAGATTCGCACAAATGGAAATCCTCTGAAGCACTTGGTCTGATGTGAGCTTCCACTTTTGTTGATGTGAGCTACTGTGTTGTTAGACACATTTTAAAAAGGCCTGAAAATGTTATGCTTTGCTGAATGTGTTGCAACTTCATTTTTAACAACGTATTAAGTTCGTATTTACATCTGAACAAACTATCTGGCTCTAATAAACTCATTTTAAATTTGTGGATAGTGAGATTCATTCAAAGTAACAATTCCTACAGGTTTTTAGAATAATAAAAATTAAATTTTCTTAAGTTTGTTTGATATTTCAGTTGCTATGTTAATCCCACATGTACACCTCAATTTTATTTTGTATTCTGTAAAATGATTTTAAAATGAGGAATGATCAGGATTTCTTTTAATCTTTCTGATTTACTGTCTGTGAGAATTCTGAAATGTGATTGGTTGATTTATCTGCTGGCTATTTATTTTGCTAAGAGTTGAAAATCCCCTTCAATTGATGCTGGAATCAAAGTAGTGCTGTGGAAGGGGGAAATCAAGACTACAAAGATTGTTAGGTAAGGATTAAGTTCTGTTGCTTTGCCATGGAAGGCAAAATCTGGGCCTTTATTGTTTCTACAATTATCTGTACTTCTCAGGCAGTGGCCATGGCTTCTTTAAATTCTCATTTAATTGTGCTGCCAGCTACATTGGACTCAAAACATTAACTCTATTCCTCTCTCCATAGATGTTACCAGAGCTGCTGAGTTTCTCCATCATTCACAGTTTTTATATCAGAGGTATATCAATCTGCATAGCATATGCCACTAACTGAGAGTATATTTTATTTGATGAGCAGGGGGCCAAATGCATTTTTCACATGACAGAGTGGACCATATTCAGGTTTTTGACTTAATTTAAATGGTAGCTTTAAGATTCTGAAGGTAATTGCTTAGTTTGGGATTGACAAGAGAATTAACTATTTTCACTGCAATTAAGGAAATGTTAGAGCAAAGAATACTTTTCACATTGGAGAAAAATTAATTTTGGTGAGCACCATGTGATTTTTAATGCTGTATATAAAACTTGTCATTTTTGTGTGTGAATTATTTATTTGGTTTATGTCACTTCAGGTTTGAGTTCATGTGAAGTTAGTGTTATTCATTTCCAAGCAATTGAATCCAAGACAACATTATTATTAGTAGGTGACCTACTAGATGGTAGTATAACTGACCTAGAAGGGAATGTGATTCCTGATACTTCGTGCTGTCATCAACTGTACTTTTAAGCTGAGGAGACGGGATTTACTATATCTTCGGAAAAAAAGCACACATTTCTGTTTGGAGGTCAGCATAGTTGCATTATTTCAAAATGCACAGGTCCATTGTCCATCATTGCTTTTCAAAGATTAAGATTGCTCTTAATCTTCACTGCTTCAATAAAGAAACAAAAAAAAGTGTTGATGGTTTCAGATTAAGATATGGCCTTAAGGAGGGAAGTAATCAGATGAGGCTGAACTGTCACTTCCTTATCAGTGGAAGAGAAGGAAGCACTTTTGAAAATGGCAGAATTGTCATCACATATAATGGGTAGGTAACTGTTTGTGATTTCTTCATATTATAATGCTTTACTACTAGTATAAGAAAATTGAAGGGAATGTGTTTTGGACATGGTGCAGTTGTCACATTGTTGGGTATAGCTACTTCTCAAGGGCAGTTATGGATGAGGAACAAATGATACTCACATGCTATGAAATAATAAGAAAAACAGTAGATATTGAATTTAATTTTCTGAAGAAGGGTCTAGGCCCAAAACGTCAGCTTTCCTGCTCCTCTGATGCTGCTTGGCCTGCTGTGTTCATCCAGCTCTACACCTTGTTATCTCAGATATTGAATTGACATGTCAAAGCTCAAATGTACTGTGCCTGAGAATGTTTGAACATAGCTTCAGTTCCTGGTCTTGGTTGTGCTGCCCAGTTGGGTGCTAGGTAGATGATATGCATTACCCTATTAGGAAAGGAAGATTGGAATCGGGAATCATACTGTGCAGCATATGCCTAGTTAGAGGACGTGCTGAGGAATAAATTACCTGCTGAACTTTAGAGTGCAAAATGGCACGTTGCATTGAAGGAAGTTAAAAGGAGTAAATGTCAAGTCAACCAAATCAAATACATTTGCAGACAAACAGGAGGCTGGCCAGGCAGCATATGGAGGAAAGGAGAAGTCAACATTTTGGGTGTTACCCTTCTTCAGGACTGGATGTGGGTGTAGGGGCCGCTGCAGATAAAGGGGGAGGGGTAGCAGAATGGTGGTGATTGGTGGATACAAGTGGTAGGTACAATCTGGTTTCTTGCCCTTGTTTGTACCATTTTTGAAAATGTATTATATCACATGAGATGCACTACCAGTTTAAAGCTGTAAATTCACATCCTTCTCAAATAATGGTGCTGAGAATCAAAATCAAGATTTTATTTCATGTTGGGTATTGAGACAAATAGATTATGTAGTATTTTCTTAACTGTCTTTTTGCAAAATGCAGTTTAAAAATATTTTCATTTAAGGCTTTATTATCCTTTTCCCTGTTCTGTGCATGCTCAAATAAAACAGGTCTGTATATGTTAAAATCACTGTAATGTTCCTGTAATTCGCCTGTAGTCCAAATGACAAGACACAGTGGTTCAGACTGAAGAGTGCAAACCTGTCATGTATATCATTGTCCAAATAGTCAAGTGCACAACATTCAGTTTATACAGAATAAATGGATATTGCATCTTGATGCATTCTCGGCAATCTGGTGCTACATTACAGTATGCCTTGTTAATTCTAATTTTGAAAGGAATTTAAAAGTAATGGGGTGGTGTGGGGAGGGGGGAAAGGGAGTACAGGGAAGCTGCCATTATTCTCAAATTTTTGATATCAAAAGAAATCAGTACTCTTCATAGTTATTTAAAACAAATGAAAATTGGCAAATGATAGTGTAAGGTTAGATCATTACAATAATACAATCATAAGTATGAAAATATTATTTCTCATTTCCAATATTTAGCGGCCATACAAGGGTTAGAACATTTCACACCTTAAGACTGATTTATTTAAAAGATCAGTTGTAACCTTATAAACACAATTTTAAAGATTATTTACAGGAAAGTCATGATCTGAGCTTCAAGTGATTTCTTGGTTATTCTCCAACCCAGATTATGGATGTGTCAGGTAGAATGGCGAAGGGTTTGAGATTTTTCACTCAAATATTCAGAAATGGCCATCAATAATATTCAACAATCAAGTGAAAGCCCATTGAAAGGCAAGATAGGGAACTGTCAATGTAGACTGTGCAAATGTCTCTGAAGGAAATCTCAGTAGGGAAGAACTTCATTTAGAGGGTCTCTAGTGTCACCCCTCATCCTCTGCAAAGAAATATAAAGTCTGCCCTTAAAATGAAGATCACAGGTCTCCAGATCTTAGGTTGGCAAAAGCTGAACACTGCGTACCCAGTATCTTGAGAGATTTTTTTCTATTGACCGTATAAGCCTTTCGCATCTATCCCGTTCTAAGGGCGCCTTTTTCACGGTGTTCAATGTAACTTCTTTTTTATTAACCTTTGAGCACTTGATTTTCCTCATCACTTTTGAAATTGTGTTTCTTCAGAACAAATAATCTGCAATTTTGTTTGAACAATGTATTATAAAATTGAAAGCAGGGCATTCCATTCATAACCACTACATTTTTAGCTATATCTTATTTAGATGAAATGCAACAGCTCATAGTTCTTTTTAACATTTTGAGTAATGGGAAAATATGAAAACCAAGAACAACTGAGGTTCACAGTGTCTTTCAAATAAAATTTGTAATCCTCAAAGGGTTAAAATAAGGATAAAATTAACAGCATTACTGGTCAGATAACTACAAGACATCCATTTTGGCATGACATTTAAGGACAAGAAATTTGTTTTTAGCCAGAGACAAAAGTCTAGCTCAATATTTTAAAAAAAAGTTCTCATAAAGTTATCGTAAAAAATAACTATGAAAGTCCATCTCTTCTTCCAATTAAGATAAAGTCCAAAAACAACACCATTAAAGAACTAAATATTTAAAACTATTTTTCTCTCTTTTTGAAAATATTGTAGAATAAAAAAATAAACAAACATCAACAAATAGTTCTGATAGAAGTAGAGGGGTAAAGCCTTAACTTTTGTACGAGAAAACAGCACTATGTACACACAGAACACATACGTACGTGTGTGTGTGTGCGCGCGCGCGTGCACGCGCACTGAGACTTTTGACTGTACAGTATAAATCTACAAGAGGGGAGGTTGGGGGTAAACATCATTGCTTAGGAATACTTCTTTAAGATGTTTCCCTGTGAGATAATGCAAAGGATTTTATCTTTAGGTTGCCTTAGGACTGTACTTCCAAAGTATGCTGTTCATTCTTTATCCCACATATAATCAAAATGAAAAAAGAAAAACTGGCTTGTACACAATTAGGTAGCTGTGTTTTCTTTCCAAGTGTCCAGCTTTTTTTAAATCATTTAAGCATATTAAATATAAATTATGTGACAAATGTACAAAATATGTGCCAGACATTTTCTGCTGAACATTGTGTGTTTTATCCCTAACATTTTTTATTTTTTTTAATATCTTTCGTTTGCAGTGCAGCAGAGATGATCACACGATGAGGCAACACTGCAATCACGTGTAAGAATATTCAGCATCTGGTATCCCACCGTCTCTGTAACCTCGGTTACTGCTGAAGGCTGTACTATGAGTGTTCTTGTAAAGACTTGTCCCATTGGATGGAAATATGGTGTGAATCACATATTCCTCCTTTGGTCGCTGTTGATTATTGAGTGGAATCATCTGAAAGCCACTCCCTCTGATTTCTAAAATGGAATTATCCTTCTTCGTCCCCGCTTCTGCATAATCATCTTTTTTTCTGCAACCTCTATTGTACACCTGGTTGTGTGAAAAAACATTCCTGTTGTTGTTAATGTAACAGCATATTGCAGCAAGGACAACGACAATGAACACTAAGGCTGTTGCACCTCCAATAATACCAGCTAAGGGAAGGCCTACGTGGTCAGATTCCTCTTGTTCTCTGTTTAATGTCGTGGTGGGACTATATAAGTCTGCAGTCTCTGCTTTAGCACATACTGGTGTTTCATCCCTTACATACAAGTTGTTAGCTTCCATTGTAACCATGCATATAATGTAGGTTGATTTGGGTTCAAGGGCTGTGAGAAGATATTCAGTCTTGTCTCCTTGTACCAAAGTTTCAGTGATGGAACCCACTGATGGATTATGGTCGAGTCTGAGCCAACTGAGTCTGAAGGATGTGACTGGTAGCATTGCCCTCCATGTGATGCGAATGCTGTCTGCAGTTAAAGGCATCACATTAATAATTATTGGTTTTGTTCCTGATCCTCTTGACAAAGGATGGTCCACAGCTGAACCTGGTGGCTTCAGATTTGGTCGTCTTGGTTTGTATGTGAATTGTAGTTGAGTGACAGTAGCTGTATGAACAATTGGGGTTGGTTTCAGAGCTGTGTTGCTACCATGCAAGCTGTTCTCAAAGCACTCATCCATTTCTGATTTGATATCTTTGACTGCCATTCCTCGAACTTTATCGGGTCCTTGGCACATTAGCCCTCGCACATTGATGTGAAATGCAGTTGTTTGTAACCAGTCTCTGAGCCACATCATTTTGCAGCCACAATACCAGGGATTGTTGCGCAAGAGTAGCTGACTCAAGTTTGCTAGGTCATCAAAGACTCCTTTTGGCAAAGTTGTTAAGTTGTTGTTGGATATGTCTAGCCGTTGTATCTGTCTCATTTTAGAAAAAGCGTTGGTTGGAATGTAACTAATGAGGTTATCCTGAAGGTAGAGCTTTTGTAAGTTTGAAGCAGGCAGATTTCGTGGTGGAAAAATTAGAGAATTTCTGATCAATGAAAGCTCAGTCAGGTTTTGAAGTCTGCTGAAAGTCTCATCTGCAATTCTTTGATTAGCTAAAAGATTACCATCCAATACTAAACGTCTTAAACTGACCAAGCCTTTGAAAGCATAGTGTGGGATGGTTGCAATCCGGTTGTCATCCAGCCTCAGCTCCTCCAGTGTTTTGGGAAGGCCAGTGGGAATGCTGCTTAGATGGTTCCTGGACAAAAAGAGCAGTTTGAGGTGCTTACTGTCAGCAAAAGCATGTTCCTCAATGCTGACTGTTGACACAGAGTTATCATCCAAATGTAATTTCTCCAACAAAGGAATCCTTGAAAGTGCATCATGTGTAATGGCCCTAATGTTATTGTCCTGAAGATGCAGCTCTTTCAAAGATCGGGGAAGGTTTATAGGGAACTCATCCAAAGCATTTTCGTAAAGGTAAATCACTTTTATATTCAATAGATACTTCAATTGACTGGGGATCCCAGCATTGTTAATCTGATTGTTTTGTAAGAAGAGAGTTGTAGAATCTTCCGGTATTTTGGCAGGAATGGATGTCAAACCTCTGTCATTGCAGTAGACAAAACCATTGTCACATCGACACAAAGCAGGACAAGTAGACATGACGCATGGCATCAAAAGTGCTGGCATGATGACCCAGAGCAACAAACTTTCTTTGATATCCATTGTTTGTAGTGACATTTGAAGGTAAAGTTAGTTGTTGTTTATCTTTTCATCCACTTAGTGTGACCTGTCAGGGGAGAAAAAGTACAAGTATACATTAGATAATGTATGTTTTCTTGCCTCCCCTCCCCGCTCCTTCCTGTTTCATACACCAGGCTCCAAACAAGAGAACAGAATGGTCATTTCAACAACCACTTCCAGCAGTTGGGGATATGGTGGCAATTTTATCGCCTGGGCACCAAACCACCTTGTCTACGTCAACCAACTATTTCAGATAGCTTTCTTGCATCTATAAAAGGGCAGTCAACTGCACACTTACAGTTTCCCCAACCATCAAATGCCCTTGAAATGTAAGAAGATCAATTAGTTGCAGCAGAGACTGTGCCTTTCCACATAATATTTTAAACTGTCTGATTTATTGCTTCACAATAGCTGACAGAGCAGCACAAGTGGCAGTGTAAACCAGAAGGAGTGATGTCTGTTTGGTATTACTCTTCTGGAACTTGAGTAGTAACATAAACATAATATAAAAGTAATGTTAAAAATGATGCATCTCCTGAATTCACATCCAAAAACTAATATGCCAAAAAGAGTAATGATAAAACTAATTTTATTTGGCAATAGCTTAACTCTATAAAATATTACATACAATTAGAAGAAGGCTGAAAGTTCATTAGAATTTCTGAGTCCTCCTTGGTGTCTTCTCATTCTGAGAAATAGGAAGGTTTTGAAATATTGTTAGGCAAAGATGAAAAAAAGACCAAATGTCATTTAGGATTACAAAATGGACCATTCAGATTGTTAATTGGGATGTAACATTTGTGCCTCACCACTGGCAGGCAATGATCATCTCAGGCAAGATAGACTCTTAACTATATCCTCTTGACATTCAAACACATTACTATCGCTGAATCTCTTACCATCCTGGAGGATATCATTGACTATAAATTTAAGCGGACCAACTCCATGAATACTGTGATTACAAGAGCAGGTTAGAGGCTGAGAATTCTGGAGTATTGAACACATCACCTGATTCTGTAGAGCCTGACCACCATCTTCAAGGTATACTTTCTACTTGCCTAGATGAGCGCAGTTCGAACAACATTGAAGAAACTTAACAGCATCCAGGACAAAGCAACCCCCTTTTCTGAAGAAGGGTCCAGACCCGAAACGTCAGCTTTCCTGCTCCTCTGATGCTGCCTGGCCTGCTGTGTTCATCCAGCTCTACACCTTGTTACCTCTTGAATAGCACCAGTTCTGAGGAAGGGTCACTTGACCCAAAATGTTAACTCTGATTTCTCTCCACAGATGCTACCAGACCTGCTGAGCTTTTGCAGCAATTTCTGTTTTTTTCCCTTATTTACAGCATCTGCAGTTCTTTCAGTTTTTGTCAACCTAGTTAACCTCCTCTGAACCGTCTATAACACACCCACATTCTTATACCTTAAGAAGACCAAACTGCACACGGTATTCAAGATTTGGAACTGAGGCATAATATCGTTACTGTTATATTCATAACAGTACACCCTCTCATAATAAAGAGTGCAGCCAGTTAGCCTTCTTGATGACACAATGAATGTAAATCTTCCAAAGCATTTCACAAAAGAAACTTTCAATCAAAACTTGTCAGTAACCCATGCGGGATGACATGTGAGGTTGGCACTTGATCAAAGAGTTGCATTTTAAGGCATTCTTGAAGGAGGAAGAAAAGGTGAAGAAGTTTAGGGTCGTCATTCCAGCTGTGAGAGCATTGGCAGCTGCAATGGAAATCAGAGACCAAAATTAGAGATGATGTTAATATTCCAGAGTATATGAAGCTGTATCTTCTCATATTTTGCTGTGTCATTTTGTTGAGTTTCGTGGAGGGTTTCTCTCCAATGAGGCTCAGCAAGTTTTCTTGTGTGATCATTCCAAATGCGCCTCATTGATTATCCACGACACACCAATAGCACCACTCCCGTATGATGCTAGCCCAGTTCTTCCATTCGCTGTAGCTGGAGGGACTCACCACAGCCAGGATATTATGGATATACTGCCATCCCTGGCCCTCATGCCACATTTAAAAGATCATTGTGCAGTCACTCAAGTACTGACAGTCCACAGTTGTAGACTGTCATCCCAGACAAAGGGAAATTGATGCCTCACTTTGTGTACAGGGACCTGGGGATCCTGAAGATTAGGATGGTGCACAGGAGGATAGACATGTTCCTTCAAGACTGGCAGAGGAGGTGATGGCACAACATGATGTCAGCCTGGACTGAGGTTGCTATGTGGATTCGTGTGGTGTTCCCACGTGGTGAAACATCTAGCAGTGCAGGAAGAAAGGCAGTGATGTCCTTCACTCAGCCAGGGTATGTGCCCTCTCTACTCTACATCCTCACACTTAGTTTATCTCAAGGGCAACCATGGATAAGTAATAAAGGCTGACCAGCCAGCTATGCCCACATTCCATGAGTGAATGAAAAAAAGAAATAAAAACAGCACCCACCTCTCACCAAGGTTGGTGCTCCGTCACTGTCACTCTTGTATGTAATATCTTCCCTCACTCGCTGCACCCTCCCCAACCCCCTGCAGTACTAACCGTGTGTGCCCTCTGTGTTGTCTACTCACTTAGCTGGGGCACCCACCACCTATCCCCCACCTGCACCAGCACCAGCACCAGCACCAGCACCAGCACTTGCACTAGTGTCAAAACCAACAGCTGTGCCCTGTACTTTCACCTCACTCAAAAGTAGGGCCAAAAGAGTCCAGACAGGCGGTGGGGTGTTGAATATTCATCTCCTCACTCATGCAAGGGGATGATCTTGGTTCTTACAGGCAAATACCAAAGCTAGACTTGTAGAGATGCCAAAACTTCCATATCACGGCAACCAGCATTAGTCATTGTTGTACTCCTTTTCCATTATCCCTGCTGCGAATTTATTGTTAAATTTCAGCAACATCTGGTCCTTGATCATAACAATCTCTTGTTTGTCTCCTGCAGGCACCAGCGGGATGTCCATGTTGGCTGTGTTTAAGAGGGCTGCCCCACAAGACATGATGTCCTCCACCTCTGAAGAAGATAGCACGGGTGTCTCAGAGGAGACACTGGCAAGGCTGCTAGCATCTCTGATTCTGACACCTCAGTGGGTATTTTATCTAGATTAGAGTTGGGTGCACCTTCAGATGACCATATCAATGCCATGCCTGCAGCTGGTTGAAGAAGAAATGCCCCAAATCCCTGGATGCCAGAGACCAGGCATCAACTCAGTTCCAGGCAGGGGTGGACCCTGCCTATGTATAGGAACAGCAGGCAGGCTTGCCCGTGGCCCTGGATGAGCTAAGACAAAGGCTGCAGGACCACAGCAATGCGGTTTTGACCCTGCTGCCTCCATGAGCAGGTTGTTGGAAAGCTAGGTCCAACAATCTCAGAGTCTACTGAATAGAGACAGTTCTGTACTACTTTTCACAGCTCCAACATTGAAGCTATTGAGGCCACCCATCCTTAGGTACACAATGTTTGATAATCCAAAGTATGAAGTGAGCAGCTCCTGTGCAATTTGCAGGCAGTAGGTAAATGGCAGGCGAATGCTACTTCAGGAAAGTCAATGTTTCAGGCTGAAACCTGCTCCTTGGATGCTGTCTGACCTGCTGTGTTTTTCCAGCTCCACATTTATTGATCTTCATCTTCCCACTTCACACCCCAGTCTGGTGGTGCGCTGACTGCACATGGAAGGCAGGGTGCTGCTCACAGTCAATGGCCCCACTGCTGCATAAGCTGACTCCCTCCCATGCTGTCTTGTCTCTGCCCCTTATATATTGAGTTGCTGCCCTTTATTATTGTACTCCCGACAGCACCTCAGTATTCTGATTCCAAACTCCACAATTGAGTTCCCAGCCTCCCTCCCGCAGCAGTGGCTGCTGATAATGCTCATTGACTTTTAGATGGACTGGCCATAGTTGGCCCATTGAATGACTTCATTGGACAGCATCAAATGATGAATGATCAGAACCCTGGGTGTATAGTTCTCCGATTATGTTCCTGTGACTTCCTGGACTGGTTCCACTGGCTGAGTGTGATCTACTCTGAGGACTGCAGAGGTACAGACCTCCCCACAGCACCTGATCCTGACAGCCCTGGCCATGCCCAAACCCCTGGACTGATATTGGAGGTTACTTTTGATTACTGTGTTGGGGCTTCCTGACTGAAGTGTGTCTTCTTGAACTTGACTAAGGACTACTCTGCTCAGACTTGAGACATTCCAGGAGTAAGCAACGAGCCGTAGTCACTAGGCACTTACTCAGACTTGCGTGTTGGGAATTTGTACCATCTAGTATATGCCCTCTGTGTGGGAGAATGGAAGCCTGCATATTAAATATATAGATCTGGTGGTAATGATGGTGAACAGTAAAACTTACTGGCATGCTTCTTGCTGCTCACGAGTGAGAATCTCATCTTGATTTTGGGACTTGGTTAGAAAACGCGACTTGTTGATCTCAACATCAAAAAAGATTTCACTGGATATCTCATGCAATTCTCCCAAGTTTCTTATCATAGCCCATGCTGTTCAAGGCCTCGAAAGGTTCCACCCATAGCAAGGCTTTAATGAGTAAACTTGAATCAGAAGTCTATAGTCAACATAGATTCAACATATTTGGATGTTTAGTTCATTTGTTGGTGTGTACTGTGCCTAAAAACGGATCCTTAGCTTGTTGTCCTGCTTAATTCTGAGCTGTTTTCTTGCCAGTTTTTGACATTGGTAGTTGTCACTGCCTTCCACTCTCAGGGGAGGGTGAGAAGACAGGTCACATGATTTCCTCAAATTTTACGGTAATGAATTCCATACTGTTGCTGGTATTTCTGAATCACTCGCTCTCCAGCCAGCCACCTGACCTAATTGGCTTTGCAATCTCTTGAGCCACTTGAGGATTTAAAACAAAATTCTTCCTGAGATATTGACGTTGGTGGCAAGACTGCAATTATTGTCCTGAGAAGGAGAGCTGAAGTCCTTGAGATGATAAAAATCAAAAGGACTGTGGATGCTGTAAATCAGAAATAAAATTAGAAATTGCTGGAAAAGCTCAGCA